AAAGCCCTGCATGACCATAGTACAACACCATAATGCCTGAGTATACTATAACACCATGATTTCCAAGGTGCAGGCTAATCTAAACTCTAGACCACTCACATGGTGCAAAGCCTATCCATGTCAGCAGAGTAGCGCCGAGGTTGGCAGATTGATCTCGAAGCCCTTACCACTGAGGACCTTCAAGCAACGGAAGGTTCAGGAATTAAGTTTTTAGGTTTTCAATTCAGGTAGAAACTGCAAATTTCCTTCACAATATATGCTGCCCATGTATGATGAGGAATGTAACCGAGCAGGGCAGTCCAATCGATCCCAGATTCTACGACTCTAAAGGGCCCCGTGCAGGTTTTGTTTGAAGAACAATTTCGAGTCACAACAGGCATTACTCTAAATGGGATTTAAGGCCTGAAATCCTGCATGACCGTTGCGAGGTACAAAGGGTCACGCAAGGTTTCCAACATCAACCATGACATTCCCCTTTCTTATCCTGTAGTATCCTGTACACCCATTCAATTAAAGGTGTTAGTTCACTGCGGGCCAAGTGGAAAGTCTCGAGATCCTTATTTATACTACCCTGAACGATAGTTTCCACACATCTCTATAGCACCTCTTATTCCCATATGGTTACCTGAAAGTGATGAAGCTTGTAGGAGGAAAGCTTGACGCCGGCGCTCTTCCCAAGACCCGAAGTACGCGGTTTAGGGTTTCCGGGAAGTAAGTACTGTTCATAGCTTTACGGCCTCCAGTAGGTCTTATGAATCACTTAAAGACCCAGAGTTTTGGAAAAGGACCGAAATAAGAAGCTTTAAAAAGCTAGGGGCATGAAAGTTTACTGCCCAACGGTTCCGCATGCGACTCCTCGACCATAAGGTCTGCAAAAAATGGAAATCCCACATCTCGTCATTTTGTAACGATTTCTTGAGTAAAGGCTGTCCGGTACTTGCTAGGTGGACGCTCCACCCAGTAAGAGTCACTATGAGGGATAATGGTGATTAATTTTCGGGTCCCCTTATCTTCCTGCTATACCCCTAAGCCCTGAACCCTAAGGACTCGAAAACCTAAACCCACTTAAACCCTGAACCCTAAAGCCTCTAAAACCTAAATCCTAAACCCTAAACCCTTAAGCCCTAAAGCCTAAACCCTACACCCTGAGCCCTAAGGTATCTGGATGCCTCCGGATGCAGTTCACCGATGATCCCGATGTTGACGCCTTCGCAGACGATGTGCGCCTCCATGAGGTGCTTTTCCAGGGTTTAGGGTTTAGGGTTTAGGGTTTAAGGTTTAGGGTTTAGGGTTTAAGGTTTAGGGTTCAGGCAACCCTCATAAGGATTTACACGTTGCTCTTCAAGCACTAGCATGGGTTTAGGGTTGAGGGTTTCTAGGCCCTATAGTTCCTTCTTAGGACCCGGCTACGGTAGATCAAGGGGCTCTTAGGGTCCCATGGCCCGTCCTACCCTTAACACGTAGACCCTAAACCCCAAGCCCTAAACACTAGATACTGTGACGAGAGGATTGAAGCCAACCAAACCCCTAAAGCTAGGACCTGGTTATAACTTATAATCATCTAAGACTTCTAAGGTCCTGATTATAGGGGTTGGGGTGAGCAAATTTGCCTTTATACGCACTATCAGTTCCTTCCAAGCCCTCGTGTCCATTTCATTGTCCGTTCGCTTTGCGTCGTGATTCTATCCCGCAAAGCACCACATAATCTTCTCAAAATCCGCGAGCAATCAAGGTAATCCTGCATATTCTAATACCCTAAACCCTAAACCCCCTAAAGCCTAAACCATCCCAACTTTGCCTGCATGCCAGGAAAAAACGCCGGATCCTCACCAGAATGTCAAGAGGCGGGATCTAAGATTTGAAGTATAGGGTTTAGGATTTAGGGTTTGGGGCCTTTTAGGGTGTACATCTAAGGTATATAGAAAGTATATAAGGATTCGAGGGTTAACGGCCCATACTAGGGGCCCACGGTTTCAACCTTGGAGTGAATTTGTCCTAGGACCCTTTAACCAAGGGCCCCCATGTAGTTTCGTTTTGGGAGTTTGTTCTGCTTTTTGGTGAGGGGTCTCTTACCCAAAAAAAAGAACAGGGGAGGTTCTGGGCATGTAAAGATATATATATAGACTATGTTTCTGGCATGTGTAGCGATGTGTCAGGACATGCGGGGCATAGGCGGGTGTCGGGTTTAGGTGTTGGGGCGTGGGGCTAGCCTTGCACAGTAGAATACAATGGTGTCATATGCATATATATATATAACCGCACTTATACGGGACTCTAAGACATTGCAGTGTCAGTACTCGAAGCTTCCTCCCCTACCTAGAACCTATCACAAAGAGTTCTCCCTCAGGCATGGGCCGGAAATCTATCTACCCGCACAAAAACACTGAACTGCATGCGGGCCTGTAAACCGTGTTTAGGGATGCAGCGGGTCAACTTGCCACGAAGCCTACAGAAAATGTAACGAGAAATATCAGCACGGACAAGTTTACCATCCAAGTGTTGCTACTTTTGAGCAGTAAAGTCATCTGCGGCTCTCTGGTATCTAGGATAGGGATACACTTGCATAGGATGTTGCTGGGTCAGGAATACGGAAGAATGGCACCGTCTAAAACAATCAAAGAAAACCGAGTCTGTTGCAAGAGTCTTTCCTCCCCCGACTTGTGGATCAACTTGATGCATATGATCTAAGCCATAGTCTGAACTCCAAGAACCCCCCTTAATAACCTCTAAACTACTCCCCTTTCTAATCCCCTAAATAAAGCCCGGTATTTTGCAAGTTCGGGGTCGCCTTCAATCGCCCCAAAGATACCATCCTCAAAAGATAGAACCCTAAAATCTAAACCCTGAACCGACTTTGCAAACGCAAGCCCAAGCTAGGGTTGATTTGCGGGATGATTGAGATTGAATTTCTATGGCCTTGTAAGGGATGTATCGGGATTTGGGGGTAATGTCACTTAAACATGTTCAAATCAACCCCTGTTAGACCCCAACTGTGTGGAAACACGTAGGAAGCCCTGCTGAAAGTCTAGGACTCTGCCCTCATGCACACTTAGGGTATAGGCGGTATAGGGTTGAGGGTGACACGTTGCATGTCTACCCTAACCAAAACTCTTAATCCAAGACCTTGTAGTCCAGAAGCCCTAGAACTCAGCAACGCATACCTTAACAGTAAAAAAAAACCTAGGTTGAAGTTGCTGAAGCCTAGCCCCTACACCCCCTAAATCCGCATCCTCTACTGAAGACCCCCAAGCACTAATTCCTGAACCCTACCCTGAACTCGGGTCGACTATAACTAAACTTCACTTCGTCCATGGTCAGCCGTGTAGTTTCCACAAATAGGGGGCTCTAACATATGCCCCCCATATACTGTAGTCCTTATGATGAGAAGCCCCAAAAACGGATCCCGAATTGTTGGAAACACTTACTTCTACATATTACCATACGATCCAAGTTCCCATCTAATTGTCCAAACCCCTTATATTCCTCCAATTACTTGGGTCGGCCGACCGTACACCCTGAACACTGGACTGTACCCCCTCCAGACCTAGCATACAAAAAAACCCTAAACCCTAAACCCCAAAACCCTAAACTTTAATAATTCCTTAGGGGCGTACTATAGTCTGTTCGTGAAACATGGCTCCTAAGAAGATTACACCAAAAAACCTAAGCTGCAACCCGAAAAACCTCAAACCCTTGACCCCAAAAACCCTAAACCACCAAAAACCTTAAACCCTAACCCCAAGAACCCTGAACACTACACCCCAAAAATCCTTAGCCCCAAAAATCCCAAACCCTCAAAACCCTAAACCCCAAAAACCCTAAGCCCCAAAATCCTAAACCCCAAAAACCCCAAACCCCAAAAACCCTAAAAAAAATCAAATCCTGTCCTCGCTGGGGACCAACTTAAACGTTCGTCGCTTGGAGGTCTCCTTATGCTCGTGCTCGGGCTCGCAGTTCCTTGTGCGGTTCAAGGGCTGAAGACCCTAAACCTAGGGTTTAGGGTTTAGGGTTAAGGGGGACTATAACCCTAAATCCTTAAACCTAGACCATAAACCCTAAATTAACCCTAAACCCTAAACCTTGGGTACTGCCCCCACCCAGTAACAGTCTACATTAGGGGCCCTATTAAGGGCTATATATAACCCTATTATAGTTATTATCCAACTGTTACTGAGGGGGGGGCAGTACTGACCCTAAACCCTCAACCCTAAATCCTAAACTGTAAACCCAAAACCCAAAACCCTAAATCCTAAACTGTAAACCCTAAACCCCAAAACCCTAAATCCTAAACTGTAAACCCTAAATCCTAAACCCTAAACCCGAACGGGGTTGTAGGACAAATGTACGCTTCAGAAAGCTGCAAGCCAGGATCCTCATAGTATCCCTAGTTGGATCTTTACAGCCCCTAATTAGAGTTAAGGGTTATAGAGGGTAGTTGGAAGGTCCAAGAGTGAGTGTCCAAAAAGTCGGTGTTCCTGTTTTATGTTGAGGGTTGTGGGTTTAAGGCTACTTTGGGGAGTCCCATAGGGCCTTGAGCTTAGCCCTGCCTAGCGAGAGGCAAGCTGGGAGAAATCCTCAGGAGAAGTGTTCCAACTATCATCACCCTAAACCCTGAACCCTGAACCCTACTATAGCAGCCGCACGCTGTAGTGTTTACCTGGACCCTGCGGAACCCATAACTCGGCGGAAATTACGAAGCAAGGACACTTCAACTAAACCCAACAGATAGAGTTAAGGTTTTGAAGTTTAGGAGTAATTTGGTACTTTCCATAAGTAGGAGGCCCCAAAATAAACCCCAAAATACAATCCATTGTACCTTACCTCGGGTTAGCAGGGAATGAAGAAATACAAATATGCACACTGTCATATTCTGGGGGATGATACTCGGCCTACTTTAAGGATCCCTTCCTGTATTCCTTGCTAACTCGAGGTAAGTAGAATAACCCTAAACTAAAGACCTCTAAATCCCAACTCACGTAGCCGTTTCAAGCCCCAGGCGCAGCGAGTACATTAGCTGGTCAAGGGCTCCGTGAAGCAACGAGAACTGGCTTCGCATGTTGGCGTGCACGGCCACTAATCTTCGAACGTTCCTCAGAGGCTTTAGGGCATCATGGGGCTTCTTCAATACAAGCCTCCATTAGGACACTCCTAAGAACCTGTAGTCGGATCTATGTAAACCCTATTTGACCTCTATAATATAGCGCTCGTTTGGGTGTACTCCAAATGCCAACAACAGGGGATGGTACTACAATCCCTTACTGCAACTTTCCACATAGTCAGCCCATGTAATACATGTGGCGTTCCTAGGCTCAGCTCCACAACGCAGAACCTAAACGGTTTCCTTCAACCCAACTACATTGCTAGCCCTCAGAACAAATCCCTATACTACGAAACTTTGAGCCCTAAACCCTGCACCAAAACCAGCAGTCCTCTTATATACTCCCTAAACCCTAAAACATTAATCCCCTGAACCCAAAATGCAAAATCCCTTCCTAGCTCGAGGGTCTCCACAAACGGGACTCCCAGTCTCAGGAAGCCCCTCAAACCTCAGACCCTAAACTCTAACTGGGTCGCTGTTAGGGAATTTAAGCTAAAGTTGCTATTTGGGGAAAACCCTATTCTGTACTATATGTATATATACCCATTATGGTAACTTAGCTTAAATTCCTTAACAGCAACCCAGTAAATCCTAAACTATAAACCCTAAACCCTGAA